AAAAAGGCATTCCTTAAGGAAACAGAAAATACTTAGGAGAGAGAATAATTTAAACTCCAATATACATTAAAAACACACAAATCAGACTAATTGAAAGTGTGGGCATCAGTTCCTGGGGAGAGAATGCAGGGGGACTCCGATAGAAAGAGGAGAGAGCCTGTGGACCCAGAGAGGGCAGCCTTAGGAGGAGGCCCTGGAAATTCTTGTTCTCCAGGATTCACAACAGACCTGGGTTCCTCAGTCTAATGGTGTCAGGTGATGAGAGTGGAGAAGGGGAAGGAGAGGAGAGGAGAGAATATAGAAACACCAGATATAGAATCCTGGACATATTTCACATTTAGCTTAGATTTGAATTCCCAAGAACCCAGACCTCTGAGATCACCCTCTCAACTAAAGCCCCCCAACCTGACTCCATTCTCCCTCACTAGGACCGTCAGCACCTTCCACTCCGTAGATTCCTGGCCATTGGACTCCATGGATCTTATTGCAACAAATAGATACCTCAAAGACTCAGTCTCAGGGAAACAAACGAAACCTAAAATCAAAAGAAAAGGCAGGCTCTTCCTTTCATGCTTGTTGTCTTAGTTTTATTCTAATTCCCCTTAGTTTGTAGGCCAGAAAATGGACTAAAATTTGTGATTTGGGCTATTGGAAAATATATTGTCTGATAAAGAACTTACATCCAGAAAATATTTAGAACTTTTACCAATCTACAATCAAAAGTTAATTAACTTAGTTTTTTAAAAAGGGCAAAAGACTTAAAAAGACATTTTACAAAAAAGTAGATATACAAATGGTTAATAAGCATTTGAAAATGTTGTCACCATCGTGAGTCATCAGGAAAATACGACTTAAAACCATAATGAGATAGTAGTTCATACCCACCAGCATGGCTAAAATTAAATAGAACAATAATGTCAAATGTTGGTGGGGATGTAGAGTAATCGGAACTTGAATACATTGCTACTGGGAATGTCAAATATTACAATCATTTTGAGAAACTCTGATGGTTCCCTTATAAAGTTAAACATACACCTACCCTATGACCTATATATAATTCCACCCCTAGTTATTATGCAAGAGCAATGAAAACCTATGTTCACAGAAAGACATGTATAAGAACTTTCACATCAACCTTATTCATATTAGCCAAACACTAGAAACAACCCAAGAGTTCATTAGCAGGAGAGTGGATAAACAAATTGTGCCGTATCTATACAATGGTACTCTACTCAGCCATAGCAAGGAATGAACTACTGGTACACACAGCAACATGGATGAATGTTGATACAACGTGTTGAACAAAAGAAGCCAGAAGTTGAAAAACAATATTCTGTATCGTTTCATTCATATGAAATTTAAGAATAGGCAAAACTACATCTATGATAATAGAAATCAGAATGTGGTACTTAGTTGTGGGTTGAGGAGGGGAGGAATGGATACATGTAGGCTCCCTAGGGTGATGGAAAGGCTCTATAGTTTATTTTTGGCGATGACTACATGGGTGCATAAAATTGTCAAGACTCAGAACTGAATGCTTAAAATATGTGTATTTTATATTTAAATTATGCTTTAGTTTTTAAAATACAGTAACGAAAAAGATATTTACAGGCCTGGTTCTATAAAAGCCTATTTATACTTTAAATTATGCTTTTTTTGTTTTTTTTTTTAAGAAACAAGGTCTCTGTCACCCAAGCTGGAGCACAGTGGCATAATAATAGTTCACTGCAACCTTGAACTCCTGGGCTCAAGTGATTTTCCTGCTTCAGCCTCCCAAGTTGCTAGGACAACAGGTGCATGCCACCATGCCTGGCTAATTTCTTATTATTTGCTTTGTAGAGAGAGGGTATCACTGTGTTGACCAGGCTGGTCTTGAACTCCTGGCCTCAAGTGATCCTCCCACCTTGGCTTTTCAAAGCACTGGGATTTTAGGCACAAGCCATTGCTGCCAGGCTAAATTATCTTTTATAAATAATCTCTTTAGTTTCCTCAGTCTAACCCCTTTCTCTAGTTAGAGAATGAAGTACTTTTCAGAGACGGGGCTACAACAAACACCTGCTTTGCCTGCCAACCCACTGGTTTCCAGATCCCCCAACTCCCCACAAAAAGTAATGCTGGGTTTTCCTGCTGAGCTCAGCAGTTCTCTAAGTTGACCTGAAAAGATGTGGGCTGTGAAGTGAGAACCTAGGGCAACGAGGGTGATACTTTCACAGTTTCTCTACTTCTGCTTCAAAGAGAGCAAGTACAATTTAATCTGTATCTATTTTGCTTGAAGAAAGGTCTTGCTGTTAGACAAAAAATGAAATTCTGTGATCCAGATAGCTGCCCCTTGTGAGGGGCTGCTTGGCTTTCCCATCCCAGTGTGTATGCCCCCAGCATGGGATATAAGAGCATTGCTCTCACTTGCTTCAATCCATCTTCTGTCTCCCTGTGTTCCTGACGCTCCTGGAGCAGCAGTGCTTGATAACTTGGAAGGTTATGCCACATGGAAGCTGGCATGAGACCCAGCATCATGAAAACCACTCAGCTAGAGCTCTGGATATATGCTTAGATGGCCTGGGCCATCCTGGGAATGTGTGACCTGGAGTGACACTTTCCTCTTCTGAGAAAAGAGTATGACAGTACCCATGCTATCATCTTCACAGGGCTGTCATGGGGGTGGCATGAGATAGCAGACCTGAAAACCACATTTAACAGTTTTAATTTTGATTCACACAGGTGGAATTATCTGGTTCAGTGCTCCTGAGTTCCTAGTCTGTGGGTGATTGCAGAGATTTTAAAGAAAGTGTAGGATTTAGTCTCCATTTGCAGAGAACTGAGAGTAGACCAGGTGAAGCCATGTGAGTTAAGGTATAGAGAAATGAACAATTAGCAAGTTGCTATTAGGGCAATGTTTCCATTCATTACATGCTTTAGTATTCATTAGAATCATTATTGCCTTTCGATTGTTTATAATCTGCTTGAATTTCTGGAGATATGCCACACATTTATACTTTGTTTAGTCACTATTTTTAGGTGTCAGCCTTTGTAGTAAAAGGACAGAATCCTGCACAGAACTCAGGAACCGGAGCAGGACCCCTGGGTTTGATAGGCACCAAGTCTTTAACTGGTTCTGTAACTTTGGGCCATTCACCAGGCTTTTCTAGCCCTCAGTTTCTGTTTCTGAAATAGATCCACTACTTAATTTCTGGGGACCTCTTTAATTATGAAAATTGTTACAGTTACAATTGTGGGATGGTAGAAAAAGTCTTTGAATCAGTAGAAGAACTTTGTCCTTCTCTAGCAGGGAAAATCACTTCATCTGTCTATGTGAGGGTCAACTTCCTCTTCTAGAAGATGGACCTAGAGATCTCCACCATGCCTGCCTCTCTACGTTATTGTGAGGACTGAACAGCAAGGAGTATGCAGAAACTTTATAAGCCATAATTCATAATATAAATGTTTGCTGCTGTTCCCTTGCTGTTGCTATAGGCATTGAAACACCTGGAGAGCACTCTTGGAGCCATGTATACAAGAGTGCATGGCAGTGTTGCTTCAATAGTCTGAGGGTTGAAGAATGCCAAAGCAGAGACTGATCTGAGGGATAGATTCATGAATAAGGCTTGGAATCATGAGCCTTAACCTAGCCATCTTTCATGGCCCTGGTGAGCCTGTGCTAATGACAGTGGTTCCCTCACAGGTGACAGCAGAGCTAGATGCCTGGAATGAAGACCTGCTTCGGCAGATGAATGACTTCAACACAGAGGACCTAACCCTGGCAGAACAGCGGCTGCAGCGCCACACAGAACGGAAGCTAGCCATGAACAACATGACCTTTGAGGTCATCCAGCAAGGCCAGGATCTGCACCAATACATCATGGAGGTCCAGGCATCAGGTGGGTGACCTCGCTCATTCTCCTGGCAGGGGAGATGATGAAAACAGGAATACCAGCTAGCCTGCAAGAAGCACTGCCCATCACTTATTCATTTTATTTCTACAGATACAAAGAATAGAGATTTTTACCCACATTGTTTTTTTAACAAAAGGAGAGAAACGAGGCCAGGTGTGGTGGCTCATGCCTATAATCCCAGCACTTTGGGAGGCTAAGGAGGGTGGATCATTTGAGGTCAGGAGTTCAAGAGCAGCCTGTCCAACATGGTGAAACCACATCTCTACTAAAAATACAAAAATTAGCGAGGTGTGGTGGCAGATGCCTGTAATCCCAGCTACTCAGGAGGCTGAGGCAGGAGAATCGCTTCAACCTGGGAGATGGAGAATCGCAGTCAGCAGAGATCATGCCACTGCACTCCAGCCTGGGCAAAAGAGTGAGATTAAAAAAGAAAAGAAATGGAAGTCATGAGAGCTGAAATAGTACCCAAGGTTACCCAGTTAGGTTATGCTAAGATGGGAATAGGGCCAGGGTTTCCTGGTCTGCAGAGAGAGTGAGAGAACCGATGATGGCAAATAGCACAGATTACTTTGAAAAATGGTGGCCTGGAAAAGCAAACCAGAAGCAGTCAGACATCCATGTGGATTGTGCTCACATGTGTGGCGGTTTCCTCTTTTGCTCCCTGACCCCTGCTGCCACCATATATTCTCTAGCCCTATCCTCTATTCCCAAGCTACTTCTTGTCTCCTGTTCTTGCTTCTCAGTGTCCTCAATTTTTAATCACTGGTCTGTGGGTGAATATAAGCAGTACTAATAAAAATTTATGACAAGATCATATAATTTTATAACTTCTCAGAAAAGCACGGCTGAGTTACTGAGATTTAACTTTTTTTCTTGCTCAAGATTTATCCAAAATTTATCTAAGAAATGAGTGAGTCCTTAATATTATACTTCCCACTCCCCAAGTCAACCTTTGATGTTAGAATGAGAGAGCACCATGGTAATCCTGAGGACTGCTGGTCCAGAAGAAAATAAGTCATATGGCTGGTCACATCCCAGGGGAGTGCTAGAGTCCAGATCTCTACCTTCCACCCACTCCGCCGCCCTCCTGCCTGGGTCCTTGTTGGCTTAGGCTCCTCACTGTCCAGCACGAGGTAGACAAGAGCTAAGGCCATCAATTCTAAAACATAGTTGGGCCATGTCCCTGCTTATCACGAAGGATATGGAAATCCTGAGATTGTCAGGGGGACCTTAGTAGTTTTACCAAACTTAAGTACTGTGTTTCTTTCACTGACCTGAAAGAGTAAAAACCAGCATTCAAAGGGACTTCACTCCTAACCAGAGAAGAGACAGCCTAGTAAATTCTGTTCACTTTTTTCAGCGTAGCCTGTCTTTGAATTTTCATCTGTGCTGTGAACAGACTGCCTCTGAGACCCAGGCCTATTAACAAGTATGCAGCTAGTGCCCAGTTTAGTCCCAGGAAGGGCTACTCACCTTGCAGTCTGTCTGGGGACATTTTTTAAATGACAGTGCCCAGGCCCCATGCCCTGCTATTCTGATTTAACTACCTCCAAATGGAACTTGGGCAACAGCAAACAGTTCCTAAGGTGATTCAACTGTGTCCCCAGGGCCAAGAACCACTGCTTTTAATCATGGTAATTAAACCACAACAGCTGACGTCTGTGGAATGACCTAGACAGTGGCTCTCAAAATGTGATTCCCAGATCAGCAGCATTAGCATCACCTGAGGATGTTTGAAATGCAAGTTCAAGGGCCCATTCCTGAACCCATTACATCAGAACCTCTTAACATTGTTCTTTCCTCACTATGGAATCATCTAAATGTTTGCTGCGATTCTTTTGCTGTTGCTATAGGCATTGAAACAGATAGAGCATGCTCTTAAAGCTGTGTACACAAGAGTAGATGGTAATGTTACTTAAATAGTCTAAGGGTCAAAGAATTCCAAAGCAAAGCTGATCTGAGGGGTGGATTCGTGAATAAGGCCGTGTTGCTTAAATAGTCTAAGGGAGAGCAGAGCGTGGCCCAGCAATCTGTGGTTTGATTAGCCCTCTAGGTGATTTTGTGCACCACTGACCTGGCATGTCTGGGCCCAGCAGCACCACCATCACTTGGGGGCAGATTAGAAATGCAAAATTGCTGGCCTTATCCCAGACTTGTGAATCTGAACATACATGTTAACAAAATCTCCAGGTAAATGTGTGCATCGGAATTTGGGAGTCAGTGTTCTAGGACATGGACCGTACCTTATTAGGGAAGTAGGGGAAACCGTAATCCTTTCTCTGTGATTGGGAATCTTATCTGGACTCAGGATTTAGACCCTTGGCCTGCCCTAATGGTGGTCACTGTGGCTGTCTATGTAGCTATGACTGGGAACCATAAGAGAATGCAGACACAGTACCTAGCAGAGAGATGGGCAGAGAAGCTATGCAGGGATGCTCACCCTTCATCCCTCATGGTGGCTGTGTCTAGCAGGAAGAGAAGCCTTGTCTGCCTGGAAATGCGCAGCACATACTACCAGGGTGCTGACGTGACCATGGGCAAGCCAACCTCTGTCCCAAGAGCCAAGTATCCATAGTAGCAGAAAGACTGTCGGGAGCTAGAAGTTCCTGAAGACTGCTTATGACTGAGGTGGGCTGTGCTTGGCATCCACCTAAACCATGAGGGCTGAGTGGGTGAAAACACCCCAGGCAGATGGGCTGCCCACCCCCACAATATCCTGTTCTACAAATAAGCTTTGCTAGAAGAGGTTTGATGGGCCTCTCCTGTGCCTTTTGCTGAGACTGGCTGTTCTCCTGCTCCTACCACAGCTACCTGTTCAGCCTGGCATAGCCTATGAGGCTTTCAAGAGAATGAATCCAGAGGTTTTAGGAATGCTCACTCCCTGTCTTATGGCTGAATGCCTGGTTCTGCAGCGGAGGCATCTAACTCATCTCTGGGCTTAGGGAAATGGAGGGTAGATTCACACCAGAGCTGGAGGGTGGGAATGGGGTAAAGGGTAAGTACCTTTTCTTTCTCTTTAGACTTTAGTTTCTTCTTCTGTCTAGTGTGGTAGGCCTTGATTCTTAAGGTTCCCTCCAGTTCTCACTTTCCTTAATTTAGCCTAACTGCCCTCATGGGTCATGTCAGCACCCTGGTAGTAAGTGGGCTTAGAGTGGGCCTTGTCCCCCAATGGCTAAGGAATGTAAGACTTCAGAGACGCAGGACTGAGGCAATAAATGGCTTGGGCATTTATAATCTTTGTTTAATGGACTGTATTTGGACTAAAGGTAAAATAAACTGTTGTCTTAGAAAAAAGACAATTAACAATATTAAGACTTTTTTTTTTTGGTATTTAGTCCTTCATGCTAAATTAAGGGCTTATGCTTTGATTTTATAGTAGCAAATGGAAGTAGGGACTTTTTGTATGCTTCTTTTCAGAGGTGAAGTTTATGATGTTGAGCCAGGCTTTACTAAATCCCTCTGGTGTGCCCACAACTCTAACTAAAGCAAAAGCCTTTGCTTAACTTAACATCAGTCACAGGAATAGAGTAAATAGGAACAGTTTCTTAATTTGCTCATTGTTCTTTCCTTACTATAGAGTCATCTCTTTGAGCCTCAAGTTGTGAGGTGGTAGATTTTGCTGAAAGAAGTTGGGGGCAATGCGCTGGCTGAATTCAAGGTCCAGTTCCACCAGCAACTAGCAGTCTGATTTTAGAAGTCCCTTTTCTTTCTCTCTAGACTTTAGTTTCTTCTTCTGTCTAATGTGGCAGGCCTTAATTCCTAACGTTCCCTCCAGTTCTTACTTTCCACAATTCAGCCTAACTGCCCTCATTGGCCAGGACATACTTCTTCTCTCCCATGAGAGCTGACCATGTGACTGTTGCACTTGACTTTAGGAATAAAACAAGAGCAACGTACCCTATGGATATGTCATTTTTGTAATTTACTCAAAGCATCAAATTCTCTCTTTATACAAGGTTTGCAAGTGAAAAATCTCTGGAGTCTGTGGCCATGATGCTTAAAATTTACTTTGCCTTAGAAGAACCCAACCCCTACATTTAAAAATAAATAAATTCTTAAACTAAGTTTTGTGAGGATCACTCTTCTCCTTGAGCCTAGAGGCTAGAACACAAAATCAGGAGGAAATCCTGGGTTGAAATCCCAGCCACACCTCTTAGGACCTGTACATGTTCTTGTACATGTTTGCCAGTCTCTCTCTGAAAAGTAGTGATCATCAGAATCCTTACCACATAGGGTCATGTGAGGATGAATTGGGATAACATGGGAGATGGAAAGGGTTCAGTGAAGCTTGACAACTAGTATATTTTGTACTCATATTCTAGCACATGCTGCATTCTGTTGAAGTTATTTGGGTTTGAAGTTATTAGTTTTTCCAGTAGCATGAGGGTAGAATTCTTTCTTCCTTCTTTACATTCCCAGCATCTAGCAGAGCCAGTGTCTTGTGCCTAACAAATTCTCAATAGTAATGTTTGCTGAATTGATCAAGAATGAACATCAGTGTGGGTGAAACAGATGTAGGTAAAAATAATGGAACACAAATAATTTTACTAGTGTCAAAAAAGAAAGAAAAAAGATCTATGTGTGTGTGTGTGTGTGTGTGTGTGTGTGTGTGTGTGTGTGTGTGTGGCATATGTATGTGTTTTTT